ATAACTTTACGTGTTCTTACAAGCTAAATAGTAAGAATCCTTATTGTCACCCAATAAATCCTTCTCCACCTTTACCTCAAATTGACAGCCACTCACATCTGTTTGCACCAAGAATAAAACACCAAAGTTATAAATAAACGAACATTAAATTTGAGTGCGTATGAGCAAGGGAACTAACCGGAATTCACGTAATGGTCTGCTCTTACAACGAGGTGTTTTATTCGTTCGCTAATTTCATTCCAATACTTATTATCGTACATATCATTCCCTTTCATATTATATATTACATCGGCGAGATTACCAGAGGGGAAAAAGGCCTTGAAGTTCTAAAAATATAAAAAATATAAAAATATAAATTTCAAAATCAAACACGAGAAATTTTGGCCAAGTAGAGAGCAACTTTACCAGATCCACGTTGATCCTAAGTTTCCATTGTGGACGAACACTTGCTGAGAAACCCTTGAAAATAACCATATCGCTTTTCTGCTCACTCTCTTTAAACAACCCAGTTTTGATCAGAGTATAGTGTTCTTTATTTATCCACCTCAATAAATTGTCGAGCATATTGATGGCATCTTGGGGAAGTTGATTTGTTCTTGCTGGGCCCTTTGCCAGGTAATCTAATATAGACTGAGCCGATATGGTTCCGACATATTTGATTATATATCTAAGTTTCACATTGTCTCCCTCAGTCTCCGGTAAGGCCAGTGTAATGGGACTGTCATTAGGGAATTTATTATTATCTAAAGGTTTCAGCGTGTAGAGGAACCTTTNGTGCAGGCTTGCGATGACGTGTCCCACAACACTCAACCCACATGCCCCCTATGTGACCTACATGAGGAAATGGAGAAGACCTACCTGGTTTGGTGCCCAGCCCTAAAGACAATGAAGGAAACCCAGAGATACTTGGAAGCCAGAAGACAACTAATGAACTGATATTAATTAACTGCTATATATCCTCNCCCCCTCTCGACTTTTTTCACTTTGATGTTCCTTCCCCTCTGTGAAGCCTGAAGTCAACTAAAGGGCTAATGATAACCATCAAAACACCCCCCATTTGATATAAATAAATAAATATTTTAAAGCAATAACATTAAATATCTCTACTGCTTTAGAAGCCATTTGCAGTCTTATCAAGCTGAATCCAGGCTGGAGGAGGATACGTACACAATGACTGAATGTGGAATGGGCAAGTTCTTGATTCACCCTAACATTCACAAAATTTGAACTTACTACGAAGATATCTCCCTATTTTACTGTTTCTGAAGGTCTTCACACAAACGATTGTTTTAAAGGTATTAGACTCAACTGGACACGATTGCTTGGCAAAACACCTTCACAGATTGGGAGTATACACTCAACCCACATGCCCTCTATGTAACCTACGTGAGGAAATGGAGAAGACCCACCTGATTCGGTGTCCAGCCCTAAAGACAAGGACGGAAAGCCAAAAATACTGGGAAGCAAGAAGACTGCTAATGAACTGCTATTAATTAACTGCTATAAATGTACCCCCCCCCCTCTTGGGGGAAGCTGAAGTCAGAGATTAAGGGCTAATGATAAATATCACAAAGCCTGCCATTTGAAATAAATAAATTAATAAGACTCAACAAAGCACCAAATTATGAAACTTACAGATTAAAGACATGTGGCATGTGTCTTCTTAGGCGCTGGCTATCGTCTGTAAGTATTTTTTCTTGATTATTTTTGTTAACTCTAAACAAATTGACAGGTTGAATGTCGTAACGATGTACAAGTGTGTTGCCAATCTCCAGATCCCAACAATTGACCACAACCATTGTTTTTTTACCCACTTTACCGACGGAGGGCCGCTTTGGCAAAAGGCCCTTACGAGAGAAAGAAATTGACCTAGAAAATTCCTCGGGTTAATGGAATCACTTCAATAAGAAAAATCTTACATCGATGAGCTAAAAGAGGGAAGTGAAGACTGTAAGCCAATATGAAAAAGCACGTTAACTAATAGACGAGGTGTATTTACCTTTCAGACTCTTCATCAGTGAGCGATTTCATTTTCTTTGGTGAACTACAAATTCCATTTGATGGGAGAAAAGAGTTAGTTAGTAGGCAGGAAAATGATATTTATCCCACAAAACGGCTTCGCCCTATTTGAATACTGCTACGCTGAGGAAACAGCTCTCACTATTTCGACATCGAGAGCTTTTTCCATGAAATTAAGCTGGACTTAAAATGGAGACAATTTGCAAATGTTTGAATTTCGGCCATCAAACTGATATCAGCTTCTATTACCCCCCCCCATTCCTTGAAGACATCATTCCAAACATTAGCACTAATTGGTAGATAGGATAACAAGAAGCATTCACCACCACTATCACTAATAATAGTAACTAACTACAGAAGAACCCATGAAAATATTGAAATTAACCAAAAACTTACGACTGACTTCCGGATGCACCTTGGGGTTTACGACTTTTGCGCTTGTCTTTTCCCCTTTTTCCCGATCCACCTTTAGGTTCGTCCTTAGGAGGCGCTATTGAACTCAACACTGAAAAACTGAATTTTTCCGGTGGAAGTTCAGAAGGAACAAGTGTTGCTGTGGCCGTTTCTACAGCCCCAATGGGTGTTACAGATGGAAACAAATACCGAATATCACATCTATCACTCCTGCCACCTGCTCCAAGTGGTTGGCCTTGGTATCCACGGCTTGAGGCACGACCGAACGGATCATCATATACACCATAGCGCAAAGATCCACGATAGCTTCCAAGGTCAAGAGAGTGACCTTGACTACGGTCGCCTGGAGCACCACGGTGCCCACCTTCATTATCATCACCGCGAGGTCCAAATTGGTAACCATGACCACCTCCACGAGTTCCCCAACCACTCCAGTTTTCACCCCAATCACTATCGGATGGCCAATCTTTGTCTTGGCTAAAGAGATTTGTGTTCCAAACATTAAAAAACGCATTTATTACAATCGAAGCGAAATAGCTTTACAAAATATTAGCTAAAATAATACATTCCCTCAAAATATCAATAAGGTATACTTATTCAAATATAAATAAATATATATAGAACTCTAATTACAATTTCTGATTCGTTTTCCGGATCTTGCTGAAATAGTTACGCGTTGATGTCGTGGGACAAATAGGAACAGTTAAATGGGAAGCATTAAAGTTTCCTTTTTCACAGAACTGAACTAGTAAATTACAACACGAGCAATAGCTATTTTCATGAACAATTAATTCATCCACGTATTTTGATATTCTTTCCTCATTGTGTCTACAATTTGAGACATTTACAGTTTATAGCGTTGAAAAGGACTCGTTCTGTGTTCAAAATACTAATTTACCTATTAACCGTAGGAAAGAAATCGCTACTCATCTCAGGCACGATTAAAGAAGCAAAGCTAAAGTGACTTTTATATGTAAGTGTACATTTGAATACTAATCACTATCGAAAATTAAATATGATCTGTTTTGTGCTAACTGCTAATATGCTAATCACTACACGATATTCCAATCTGAGTTGAAATAGACTCGTCTTGTCGAGCAGGTTAGGCAGACTTAAGAAAAAATCTAATTTATTTATAGTTATTCCAAATGGCAGGCGTTTTGACAATTATCATTAGCCCTTTAGCTGACTTCGGGCTTCACAGGGGGAAGGAATATCAAAGTGAGGAAAATTCGAGAGGAGGGACAGAAGAGTGATTTACAGATGTAAGAGAGACAGACAGACCGATAGACACGAAGGTAGAGAAAAGGTAAGATGAGTACTGTGGAGTGGTGTAATATAACATAGTGTCGGGTCATAGTAGTTAGAAGTCAGAAGTCAACTACCTTTTACAGACTTTTTTGTCGTATGAGTATACATTGCCCAGGGTGCACCACGAGGAGGTAATTCTATCGCACATCCCGGAAAAATCAATTTAATACCAACCAACATCGTTTACAGTGAACTTGAAATTTAGGTTCCATCTAATTTAAGTTCATAATATCATTTAAAGGTCTTACAAACAAGAAAGTAACTAATGCTCATGACAATGGTCAACTTACATAATTTTATTTTAAGATTTTAATTTCACCTCCCTCAACAAATATAGTAGCTTAAATTGTGTACCACTCGATTTGAAAAAAGGAGTACTTTGAGCAAGTTATGACAGCCTGGTAAACACATTCACTAAACGAATGTTTCTATCTTGCAAATTCAGTAGTTGGAGTAATAGAACGTGATTTAGTAGAACGTGGATATTCTAAATTCCAATTGAAGGTAGACTCTTAATGATCTAGATTTATTCTGTACTGCAACACTTATCAGAGCACATTTCTGTTACTTGTGTTTAAATGGTTGAAAGAAAAAAGTGAGCATATTGTAATATTGTCCGAATTGAGGCAATAATCAATAGTTTCATAAATTCAATCTTCCCTAAACAGGGGTGTGCGATAGACTTACCTCCACGTGGTGCACCCTGGGCAACGTATACTCATACCCCTACTACAGTACTCATCTTACCTTTTTCCCTACCTTTATGTCTGTCTGCCTCTTTTACATCTGTGAATCGCTCTTCTGTTCCCCGCCCCTCGACTTTCTGCTACTTTGATGAACCTTCCCTCTGTGATGCCCGAAGTCAACTAAATGGCCAATGAAATCTGTCAAAACGCCTGCCATTTGATATAAATAAATATCTTCCCTAAACAGTCATGAATTATCGAATAAAATATTTGAACTACATTTATCAACTGCTTATGGATTAATATTTCCCATAACTCAGATCTAGAGTACTTATCACTTAGTGGGAAATTTTTGCCTAGTTTGAAGTTTGTAATTTCTCCACATTTTTATATAGCAATTAAGTTTAAGTTTGCTCAATTACATTGGCGGTCAAATTAATATCTAGTTGAGTATCAAAGTGGTTTTGAAAGTAACATAACTCATGCAAATACTGCAACCATTGTTAAGCTATCTAAATATTATATATTGTGGTCCAAATGGGACCTCATTAATGATTGCCTAGTGCATTGAGCAATGAAGACTGAAAGTGGCATAAATAGTAGTAGAAAGGGGGACAGAACTATGAAAAATCAGCTGTATTTTTACATTGGCCACTCCCCTCTCTCATAAAGATTGGCATTTCTCCATACGCACGACTTCCATTGGCCTGAGTGTTGGAAAGTGCTTGTGAACTGGCTGACAAGACCTACTTACAACTCCTTAGTACCAACAGTGATGTTTGCGTCTTCAGTGTTCGCCTGGTGCCAAAATGTGTAGAATTTCAGGAATTGGGCTAAGCGGAATACCGTGTTGGTTAGTGGTTACTTGTGGAAATAGATGGCTATACCTGTTGAGTTACAAAGCTATGATAAGGAATTGGTACTCCTATCGCATCCTTTTATCCATCGTGGTTACCAATGCATGTTTCCAAAATATTCACTGCAATAGGTCGCTTAACGAAACGTCGAGTTGTTTCAATTCTGATCTACAATTGCACTTGGCTTGAAGAACCAGTAAGATTAAATTCATAAAATGAGGTTTTTATTCCAGTGAATGACCTAAGCTGATTGAGATTGACTGGTAAAGGGCGAACAATTTATGCTAATTATAAATATGTCAAAGACGGACGAGAATGTTTTGCTATGCTTCAAGGTTGATGACTGGTATTGAAAAATCCAATGAGCTTTTCGCAGGGACAGGGGTTTTAATACAACATGGAATGGATATAAAGTGTTGGGAACAGGCAACTACATGGGAACCATCGGTAATTCAAATCATGCTTACTACGAGTCAAGTTACGTTTCCAAAGTAACCTAGTTTAAGTGAAGGAATCATTCAGAAGTTGCTCTCTCAATGGTGTTGTAATCGTCGATATGATCACTGAGGGTGAATCTGGAATAGTCTAAGATTCAAGGAACTTGAGTATCTTCTCTTAGATAACCTAACGCTTCAATCCCTGTGCTCATTAGCATCTTTAGAACTATTACACCCCTCACAACCCCAATCACATCTCGATATACCGATGAAATTTCTTACGCAAAGTTACTTTCCTACACTCTGGTTTCACAATAAGCCTTGGAAAATCGAATTCACGTCTTTATATTTGGTTGTGCCTTGAAGATCGAACTAAGTCAATTGATGGAGTAGATCTCTAGAGTGAGATGACAAACATATGAGATTGACTAATGCTAGTAACAATTTACGACATCGATCAGAGCCAATACATTCATCAATCGGAGTTGTTTGAGGCAAATAAAAAGATTAATGAAACTCCATCGGTGGCAATTGTCACTTTTATGTCTAATTAACGGCAGAGTTTTTCTAATCATCACAGAAAATCACAATGATCAGGATACAGTTTGGTTTCACCTATGTCACCAAAGATCAATTATCATATGTTCTAATAGGCGTAGATTTAATAGGATTCGGTAACAGATCTCAGTACCCCTATACATTCCAACGACTAAAGTACAAAATTTTTTCACTGTAACTGCTAACGGTAGTAAAATTATCAGTTTAAATGACTGATATTTGGGGTGTGCAATAGACTTACCTCCACGTGGTGCACCATGGGCAACGTATACTCTTACGGCAAAAAAGGTCTTTTAACCGGCAGTTGACTTCTGACCATCACCCCACTGTATGTCATATTCCACCACTTCAACAGTACTCACCTCACCTCTTTTCTACCTTCGTCTTTGAAACACTCTTCTGTCCCCCCCCCCTCTCGAATTGTTTTTACTTTGATGTT